GCCTCCATGGCAAATGATAGTTTTGCCTTTATAAACATAAGAAAAGGTCAATCTGGTTTCATCCAACCATGCACCGCGCTGTGAATTCAGACTCACATAATTGTCGAGATGAATTGTAAGCTTGGAACTTTGGCCAAGATTCATTATTGGCACAAAAGATGGATGCCATCAAGGAGAGAGTGGACGAATCGGCACGGATTGGGATAGATTAACGTCCATTATTGGGATTTTGAGAGGTTGAGGACCAACAAACTGTAAGACAGAGAGGAAATTATCTCTGTCGGTCCCAAAACAATTTCTAATCGGAATCTGGCGTCCTTGAGCCTGCAAGGCTCCAACGAAAGCTCCCCCCTCAGAAGATATGTGGAATGTGTCGTCACTATGGCAACTCAACTCTGTCTCCTTTCCCAGCCTGGGCGGGACTGCGGGAAGGCCGCTGAAACGTTCCAGGGTCACTGCAACCCTCCAACCCTCAATGCTCCTCCCCCTATCCACACTGAGGTGACATGCGCTGCTTATCGTGGCTGCAGGAACTGAAGTGGGGATAGTCCAAACCCACCACCCCACCTAGTGGACACTTATGTTGTGTTGTCTGAAGTCTGTTGCATATCTAACTGAGGTTTTTTTTTTTTTTTTTTTGCAGAGCAAAGCTGCCCTCCCGGTGGAGGGTAGCTCTGAAGTGCCTTTTATTTTTATTTTTATTTTTTTACCTGAACCAATCCTCATGTTACCCCTCTTATCTCTATTAAGGTAGCGCAACTCAGGGTTGCGAATGACCACAGTCACCAATTCTTGTCATGTGTCTTGCCCATGTATGTCTGATCTCTGAATTGTGTGTACTGAAACTCTAATTTCCCTCTGGGATTAATAAAGTAAATTTTTGTAGAACACTGCTGGTTTACAGTGATGGAATGTAACCAAGTACAAGTACCTAATGTACTTAAGTACAATTTTTCTGCATCTGTACTACCTTTCTTGAGGCCTACTTTTTACTCAACTACTACATTTTAAGGTGACAATGTGTAGTTTTTACCATTAATTTCTGGAAATATCTATCAAAATGTTGTTGTAAATGAATGAAATGATGACCAGTTGTTAAAGAATGTAACATCTAACCATAAAAATCAGGTCTAAAATACATGGGAGCGGGTCTAAGTCTGGGCGACGCCATATTGGATGCCATGTTTCCTTCTGCGGGAGCCCATGAGACAAAATGTATTTACTGATTTGTAACAAACAGTTACAAAACCTTCATCGTTCTTAAATGTTGTTTTACACATTTACCTCTTGTTGCCGGTGATGAAAGGGAGTCTGATGTGCTCGTTATTTAGCTAAAGCTTGTACTCCCCAGGGCTTTTTGACCCTAATGGGCATCCGTTGGTAAGGTCTTACTCCAACACAAAAATACTGCTTACTTGCAACGATTTAGGTATCTACTGCCCCCTATTGCCCGTAAAAATACACACTGTCACTTTAAAGCAGTTATCTGTACTTTCTACTCCACATTTCCTAAAAAAAATTACTTTAATTTGCGTTTTGCCTCCTCTCGTCCGACAACACACTTCTACACACAACTCATATATAAATGAAAGTTGAATACTTTTTACTTTTTGACTTACATTTCAAACTGTATACTTATTTTTTTTTTACTTAAGTAAAAAACTCGAGTACTTCTGCCACTGCTGGTTTATGAGGTGGGGTTGTGGGTTTGAGTCCACCCTAATCCTCTTTAAGCCATGCGGTTGTGCACCAATGAGACTTTTGGATAGAATTTAACAGGATAAAAAATATAAATATGTAGGATTTAACTGTAATGAATTTAATCTTTTGCATGAAGCAAACAGGACAGAAAAGGTTGGATGACTTTAAAGATGCTTTTTAAAAAAAATTCTGGACAAAACAACAGAATTTTTTAGTTTTTTAAAGTGACGGTGTGTATTTTCCCTGGCAGTACATACCTAAATCATTGCAATCAAGTTATATTTTTGTGTTTGAGTAATACCTTATCAATAATAATAATACTTTGAACTTATATAGCGCTTTTCAAGTCACCCAAAGATGCTTTCACACACTCACATTCACACACTGCTAGTGATGGTAAGCTACTTGTAGCCACAGCCACCTTGGGGAGGTCTGACAGAGGCGAGGCTGCCATTTGGCGCCGTCGGCCCCTCTGACCACCACTAACACAAGCAAGTTGGGTGAAGTGTCTTGCCCAAGGACACAACAGCAGGATACCCCTGGCGGGAGCTGGAATCGAGCCCATGACCCTCCGATCATGAGGCAACCCGCTCTACCACCTGAGCTACTGCTGCCCCGGATGGCCTTTAGGGTCAAAAATCCCTGGAAGCGCAATTTTCGAAGGAGTACTTCGTCAGATTGTTCAACCTCCAGCAAAACGACAACGAGTGAAGAGGTAAGTGTTTAAAACCAATGTTATGAATAGACAAAGTTTTGTAATCCCTTGTTAGAAATTTGTAAATGCATTTCGTCCTCATGGGTTCATGTAGAGGGAAACATGGCGACTAATATGGCGGTTCCTAGAGACTTAGACCCGCTGCCATGTATTTTAGACGTTACAAAGCTGCCAATATTTTTCAACACCTGGACGTAATTTAATTTATTTTCAAAATTTCGATAGATATTTCCAGAGATTAACGTTAAAAGCCACACATTGGCTCTTCAACGTGGACAAGCAAAAATGACTCATGAGGATTTTATCAACATGCTTCAGCAGGAGACTGAGAGCTGTTTGACAGATATAAAATACTTTAATATGGATTCTTATCTCGGCTCGCGATGCAACATCAATGATTTCTGAGGCTGTCTCATAATCTAAATCTGTCCTGGATTTAATCTGCAGCTGAACTCCACCCACTTCTTTAAGCATTTGAGCCTTTTTCCCCTCCTTTGTGTTAATAATCTGTTTTTTTTTAACTCCATCCTGCTGCGTGCATTTCCATAAACACTGCACGCCTCACAAATCACTTCAAACCTCTGCGACTTGCAAACCTTAAGTGGGCTGAACACTTAAACCGTGATTCACTGCGCTGTGGATAGAACACGCTGCGTGCGAGAAAGCGTCCGTGCATTTAACATCCTACTGCTCAGAACTTTACATATTTATTAAATGATATCAGCTCCACTTCTTCTCCCACAGTTGCTTTTTTTCTTTCTTCCTTTCTTGTATTTAATCAACTACAGCAGAATATGTGGTCCCTGCTGTCTCCTCTGCAGGTTTTTAAGTGCTACGCGGGGCCCCCCAGTTTGGACTCAACCCAGTCAAATTACATCCCTGCATTAATTCGACCCTGCTAAGCTAATAAGGTCGAACAAGTCTCTTTGTAATTGCCGTGTTAAGCTTTATTGCTTGTCGTTTTGACCAGAGATGGACAAGGTAGGCTTTGATGAGGGAATTAGTCGCCTATTCTGTGGCGGTTATTCATAGCGCCGCGGAACATACAAGCACCGGAGAGGGTGTCAAAAGAAGAGCTGGTCCTATTGCAAAGTGTCTCTCTTGTTGGAGCTGAAAGGGCGGTTATGAGACGATAAACCGCTTAATACACTGAGCTAATTGGATGAGAGCAAGAGAGACGAGGAATTAAGGGGCGAGCGGAGAGGGGGGCGTTGAGCCGTGGCCCTGCTTTTCTGCTCCTTTCATCGGGGGCCTGTTCTCCGCCTTTTTGGGGGGGGGGGGGGGGGGGGGGGGCTGTTCATCAAAGTGCCTTTTAGAGCTCCTCTCTCCTCTCCCGGGGACTGAGTGAAGACTTTATCCGGCTGGAGGCTGTGGAGTGATTTGGCCTATTCTCTGGGGTGGGGACGTGGTGGGAGAAACGAGGCCGGGAGAATCCAAATCAAGTCCAAATCAAAGAGTAAAGGGGTGCGTGATGAAAATGGGTGAGACAAGTCTGTGGGTGGATGTTTCTGCAGGACACCTGGATTCACCTGTGAGCGGGCGGGGCAGAAGACACGAACCTTTTTTTCATTTTTGGCTCAAAACACCTTTTTTTTCCACCTGAAGAGAAGCACCAACTCGTCCGTGTCTTCATGGGAATAAAATAAATCCAACAAGTGTGACTTTATTTAGCATTTCAATTTTCTCCCCATATTTGAAAGTTTAAGCCCCCCTCTTGGCAGGTGGTCCGCCCCCCAAACATCGGGGACAAATTGGTTTGCCATTCATTAGTTATACTCACAATAAGATTAAAACTCCACACACAATCTCATCACAGAACTCTATAGGGGGAAAAACACACGCTCCACTGGTTTAGAGCCAAAGAAAACATGCAGCAGCTCTCAGATGGAGGACAAAATAGTTTTTATCTTTTCCTCTTTTCCATCCAAGCAGCTCAGACTCATTCTTATCGGATCTGTGGAGGAAAATTAAGTGATTAAGGTTTCCGCCTAAAAGGGGGACTACATTAATCCGCGGAGTAATTTCACGGCGTTTTGCTCGGGCACCATGGATGGGTCAAACGGAGGAGAATGAGCATTGATTGCTGTAATAGTTGTGTGTGTGTGTGTGTGTGTGTGTGTGTGTGTGTGTGTGTGTGTGTGTGTGTGTGTGTGTGTGTGTGTGTGTGTGTGTGTGAGTGAGTGAGTAAGCCGTTTGATGAAGTGGTTTGTTACTTCATTAATGACAAAGGCGACTCTCTTCCATCGACATGGCATTACAGATGTTAAGATCAATTTAGCGCCTTTAAGGGGTTTTAAGCAAGTTAAGACCCCCCCCCCAAAAAAAGATAAAATGGGCGCTCTAATTGAAACCCCCTCGCCATTGTCGTGCATTTCACATGTAGGGGATTAGGCTCATGAATATATGGTTAGTATTTTGTCAACTGGGCTGAGGAGGATGGAGTCGTGCAGGGATTTAAATCCATTTTCTTTTCTTTTTTTATTAGTTTTTTTTTTGCAGGTGGATAAATTCTGCTGCTTGCATCCTTTCATGAACATCTGTCATCAAATAGCAGTACATTCCCCATTAGAAGACAAAACGCACATTATTTCATGAACACATTTTATTAATACCTCTATATCTCTCCGGTTTTGCAGCGTTTGTTAATTTAAAGAGCAAGTTCACTTAGAAGTCGTTTCTTACTTATTTTGAAATACCATCAGTCACTCTGAGTTTAACGTGCAGGTGGAGCGTGAAAATGGTCTTCTACCCCAATTTCCTGCATTTGCCTAGAAAATAGACAGAGACACGCTCCGATTAAAAAAGCCAGTCAGATCTACGTCATATATAAGAATTAGCATTCACGGACTCTCCTATCTAGCCCCTCAGCTAGTTGAAGCTAACTGTTAGCATTAGTTACACCACCACACGGCAGAACTCCTTCAGGCGTGTTATTTGTGCAGATAAAGCGTCAACATTGCAGAGCAAACGGAGGCAGTGGAAGAGTCACGTTGCTGTTAGCCAGTCAGAGGTGAGATGCTAGAATATCAGGAAATGACTCCAAATCTTGCCTTCTACTGCTCGCCTCTCTTCTTGCTAATTTCTACTTCCTGAAACAGGAGCGCCAGAGGTATTTTTTTCCCACAGAGATCCACTCACAAGTCATTCATTTTGAAATGAATGAGTGAACTTGGTCTTTAAAATAACTTGGTGATTAAAAAGCTCATTTTACCAACTTCATTTATTCAAATTGACCTTATTAAGCCAGGAAACTTACAATCACTTCATAAAGAAAAATCACATCCGTCACTCATTTCCTCCAACATAAATAATTATCTAAAAACCTAATCGTTCATCAACACAGGTGGAATTCTACACATTCATTAAACACTACAGCGAGTGCAAGTTATCAAAACAAGGGCTCTTGAAATATACACCACCGTTATTTTGAAAATCATCCTTTTTTTATTTGTTTCCCCATTTTTTTCCTTCTGTTTTTAAATATTTACAGATTTTCTTTTCACACAGTCTGGTGAGGATAGACGAAAATCTCAGGTGCTCGCGTGTCCTGGAGTCAGACTCAGCTGAAACGGCTCTGCGGTGATTAAAGGAGGAGAGATGAGTGGAGTAGGGTTTCGAGAGGACAGGAAATGGATTTGTTGAGTGGGACTGAGGGACAGACGAGGACTCGGGCTTGGAGAGAAGGCTGTGGAAGGTCTGTGGACATTTATTCCTTTGGTTCAGGGTGTGTGTGTGTGTGTGTGTGTGTGTGTGCGCGTGTGTGTGTGTGTGTGTGTGTGTGTGTGTGTGTGTGTGTGTGTGTGTGTGTGTGTGTGTGTGTGTGTGTGTGTGTGTGAGATCTAAGTTGATATTTTTCTACTTTTATGAGTTTAAATTCTTATTCTAAGTTATAAAAAAAACAATTTTTGGAAAATAGAAATAAAGACTAAATCAGAGACACTAACTAAATGAACAAAAGACTTAAATCTTATTGTGAAAGGGTCAGTAAATATTTAAACATCTATATAAATGTGAAATTTCGATGGTTCGTAGTCTAGTAGAGGTTCTCTCTCTCTCTCTCTCTCTCTCTCTCTCTCTCTCTACATTTGGTTGTGCTATCTTGTTGGGGGTAGCAGTCAGACATCAGCGTCAGCCTTCAGAGGCATAAATGGGATAAAAATTTAAATTATTTATTTTGTTGGGAGCAGAAGTGATGGAATGGGACACGAGCCCCCCCCCCCCCCCCCCCGGGAGATGGGGAGGCTGGTGTCGAGTGTTCAGCACACCTCCTTCCCTGCAGCTCCGGTGGGCAGGATGTTAAGTTGGGTGAGCTGAGCCGAGTGTTCCTTGGCCTTGAGGCGCAGCGCGGCGATACTGGAGGCCCTGCGGTCTGCTGCTGCCGAGGAGGACGTGGAGGAAGAAGAAGCCGAAGGGTCGGGGAGGACGGAGCTGGCGTGGGAGGGGTTCTCTACAGGGGGCGCGGGCTGGCGGAGGAGGGCTGCGGCGGTGGAAGCACTCGTCAGGGGACCCATGCTGGAGAAAAGCCTGGAGAAAAAACACAGTCGTCATGAATGTGACTTAAGAAAAAAAAATGCTTTTTGTTTTTAATATTGTTCTAAAATGAACTTTATTACAAAAATCTCACTGACCTTCAGTCAGATTTTCAGATTTATAATTCACATTAGACATATATTTAATATTTTTCCTACAAAAATGAAAAATCTAATTTTGGTTTTGATTGTTTTTGATGATTTTTTTTAAATTTAAACTAAAAGTAGACTGTGTGTGTGTGTGTGTGTGTGTGTGTGTGTGTGTGTGTGTGTGTGTGTGTGTGTGTGTGTGTGTGTGTGTGTGTGTGTGTGTGTGTCTCTCTCACAGCTTGAATTGCAGGATCACACATTGATCCGTCTGACAGGATGGCGGCTAACAGCGTAGCATGTTTGCGTCCAAACAGACAAACTGTGGCGGGGTGTGAATGACTTGCATCATGTGTTTGGAGTTTACTCTAATCCCTTCTAACCGCTGAGCACTTTTCTGCACAAGTGTTGTGATTTACTTCCCACTGCAGGGATGCATGAAGGTCGTGTTTGGGGGAGGCTGGCCCCCTGAGTCCTGCTGCTGCAGAGATGGGCACGTTGGGATGTAAATACGACCAAAGAGCAGACATTAAGCCTGCAGGAAGTCTGTGCATTGGAGTGACTCACCTGCCGAAAGTGGGGCCGATGAAAGCGGGGTGGCGGAACATGGCGGCTGTGCCCAGGAAGGTTCCCAGACCCAGCGGGGTGGCTAAGGGTGGAGCGGAGCTGTTGTGAGGTGGTGGGGCCAGGCCGGGGAAGGCTGCAGCAGCTGCAGCAGCAGCTGTCCAGGCTGACTCCAGAGCTGGGTGAGGGTGAGGAGGGAAGGGCCCTCCTTCCAGGTAGTGGCTAAGAGGATGACCTGCTGCCAGCGGGCCTGGGAAGGGCAGGCCTGACGGGTGGGCCTGCACCCCGGCCTTCTCACGCTTCCTCCACTTGGCCCTGCGGTTCTGAAACCACACCTGAGGACGGAGAAGACCATGATCTTTAGTATTTCACCCTCATCTGTGTAAAGTATCAGTGTTTAGTTCAGGTGCACGGCTACCAGGCGTAAAGTCAGCAGTAATTACGTGCACGTAAATCCCTGTGGCTCCCAGCCCCTCAAATCTGCTTTCTGTCTAATTAAACTCCCTCCCTTTTAGACGGGCTTCGGGGTGGGAAGTAGGGGAGGTAATTAAGAGCGTTGTTAACAAAAGATCCAGAAAATTACCGCTGAACTGGCTCCAATAACAATTAATGCGCTTTAAATTAAATTCTTAAGAGATGTAGAACAAATGACTTCCATCCAGGAGAGTATTTAACTTTCCCACGCATCCGCCTGGTGCCCGCTTTGCTCTGCTGAAGCACAATGAGCAAAATGTCAACATGTGGAAAGTGATTGAAGGGTTGAGCGACGGACACACACACACACACACACACACACACACACACACACACACACACACACACACACACACTCACACTCTACTCCCAAAGGGCTGTTTAGCATTACACAGCCTCTGGGGAATTTATGAGTTTTTATCACCTCCCGATGGCGCCCGTTAAGTGATTTGTTCACCTCCCTAAAGAGACATCTGTTGTTTTACCGGCGGCCATAACCTCTGGAGCTTGTTTGAACTGTCTCTGTGGTTATGCTTTGGACATGCAGGCCACGCTTTCAGGGGGGGAGGATGGGGGGAGGCAAACACCTTTAATGGCCTCTCATTCCCTCCCAAGTGCAAAGCATCGGATCAATGCAGGTCTATTGCAATCACATAATGGGAAATCAAATAGCATTATCCCTCCCCTTCTCTCCCCTCCACTCTCTTTTTTTTAACTCACCCCTTCCTCCCCCTCATCCTCTGATGCAAACTTCCAGATCTGTTTGCTCCGGCTCTAAGTGCGCCTTTTTATGCGTCTCATTCGGCTTAATTGCCACTAAAACGTCCCCGTTCGAGTTTAATAACTTTCAATAACAGGAACCGGGAGAGGGAGGGGGGCATTTAACACGTTTTTTTTACTGTAATCATTTATTGCCTCAAATTAGAACATATCGGATGACGCACGGCACCCTGCACCGTGCGTAAAAGGTGCACATTTTCTGATAAAACACCAGAACGCTTTTTAAAAACATGTCTTTAGAAATAAGGAGCGCGTTTACCTGCACGCGCGCCTCGGTGAGATCCAGACGCATTGCGAGCTCCTCTCTGCAAAACAAAAATAATAATAATAAATAAAATAGTAAAGATTCAAGGTTACAGACCGAATTGATGTTTAGTCCCCTCCTGTTGTTAACTGTCAACAATAGAAGAGGGTTTTTGTGCGCCCTCTGCGCCATGAGCCGCAGAAAGACGCCAAAGCCGCATATTCTCTCCCGTCACGGCTGGGTAGAAATAGGCCCAGTGATTGTTAGATTTTTCTTAGCCCAGGCCTGTCATTGTAACAACATAATGGCTGGAATAATGACATCTAAACTAGCCTGCCACAAAAGCAATCGACGCTCCTTTCTGGTTGTAGCAAAGATGCGCTCGCAGCTCAAATTAGAGCCAGACTCGCCTGAAAGTTAATCGACTGGAAAATATGAATTATCCCGGCGATAGAAGCAATGTGGAAATGAAGGTTTATGGAATCAAAAAGGGCTTTTGTGGTTTAAAATATGAAAAAGAGCAAAAAATGTTAATTTAGCATGAAAATGGTTGCATAATTGGTTTGAAAATGTGTTTTCGTTCAAATAAAGCTGTAGATATTTTAAGTTCTGATTTATTTGTGACATAATATATATATGTAATTATTTGTGTGTGTGTGTGTGTGTGTGTGTGTGTGTGTGTGTGTGTGTGTGTGTGTGTGTGTGTGTGTGTGTGTGTGTGTTCGTTCATCTGCCCTTGAACGTGAACTTGTAGGGTCTGACTTTTTGCACAAAATGTTGCAGCTGCTCCACTCAATTTAATCCCGCATCATCAGAAGCTGATTCAGGTTTTAGTCACACATCCTGGGAAAATTACACCTAAAGGCCTTAAAATATTTTAATTTTTCTGTGTAATTTATAAAAAAAATATCAAATTAATTTATGAGTCGCAGATGCATGGATTATTTAGGATGGATTTAGCAAAAATAAATGCAAATAAATATCAGCTTTAATGCAAGAAAAACATAAAGGGTGTGAATCTGGGAAAAAATGTCAGTAATAATAATAATATACTAATACATTTTGGCCCTAATTAAATATATCTTCACTGTAATAAAAATATAAAATCAAGTTAGTTAAAATATCTTTAGTATTAATTTAAAATATGAGAATATTTTTCCTAAATATCCATCTTCATTTGTGTGTTTTAAATAGCTTCTATATCTGTCATAATTTCCTGTTTTAAATGTCCCACCTGGTGAAGACGTCGGGGTAGTGCGTCTTCTGGAAAGCCCTCTCCAGCTCCTCCAGCTGGTAGCTGGTGAAGGTAGTCCTGTATCTTCTCTGCTTCCTCTTCAGCATTCCCTCCTCCGAGTCGCTGCCCGCCGACAGACACACGCTGTCCTCCCCGTCCCTCACGTCCCCATCCCCGGCGTTCAAGCTCTCCCGCTCCTCGTCCTTCGGGGACAGCGCGGCCGCGTCTCCGCAGCCCTCCTCCTCTTTGCCGGTGTCCTCCTCGAACTTCAAAGGGCCGAGCTCCACCAGCCCGAGGCTGCCGTCCTCCGAGGCCTCCCCGGGGCTCTGGTCGCCCTCTCCCCTGCTCAGAGCGGCGTTCTCCCGGTAGGACTTGCTGCGGCTGATGCTCACCTGCGGCGCCTGGTTGATCTTGAGGCTGTCGGCGGCTTGCTCCAGGAGGAGCCGCTCCCGCTCCAGCTTCTCCGCCTGCTCCTGGAGGTACTTTCCCCCGGGTCCGTAGAGCCGTCGCAGCTTGAGCGGCAGGTGCATGTCAGCGCTGAGGGAAAGGGGCTCCTTCAGTGGTCCTGAAATAAATTTTAAAAAGAAAAGTGGAAATTTCTTATTTCTATTAGATAAACTTACAAACTTTAGCATGTTTTGACTAATTTTCAGGATAAAAGAACACAGAAGCGCCATTATAAAAGCTCGTCCCGGAGCGGACTTACCGTCGGCGGGCTTGTCCAGCTCCCCTCTGCCGGACAGAGCCGTCAAACTTTGCGCCCCTATCAGCCTGACCTTACAGGGGCTGCGGCGGCCCAGGATGCTGTCTATGCAATAGGAGGAGAGCAGCGTGGGGGACTTGCTGCTCTTCCTCTCGCCTCGCTCCTGGATGTCTTCCTCAAACTGACCGCTCATGTCGGCGCCTGACTGCGTCTCTCACCGCTCCGCTCCTCTCTTGGCTCCTCTCTCCTTCCCCCGGCGCTCCTCTCAGATTAATGTCACACCGCAATTCTCTCTCGGCCGCCTCGCGCTGCGCTTCTCCGGCTCCGCGCTCCTTCAGCATGTATTCTGTCACCTCGCGCCTGATTGGCTCGTGCAGCAGCCCCGCGCGTGAGTGTGTGCGCGCGTGTGTGTCGCTGCTTTATATATTTTACGATAAAGTTAATTTGAGAAGAAAGGCCACAAAACCCGACATGGAGTTCGGCTCTGCTCCGCGGAACGAACTATGGCAGGAAGAGAAGAACTTATCACTTTTGGTCTTAATTAAAGAACGTAAATGAGTCATAATGACGTAAATGAAAACAAAAAGCCGTACAAACACAATGAGGTAATCAGCCAGTTGTTTAGAGAGTTTAACAGCCGTAAACAATAAATAATCAACAGCTTTATGTGGAAATATGGTTTATTTTTCACAATAATGACAATAACACGAGGCTCTATTATTATTAAACAATAACTTTGTAAAAATTATTGAGTTAAAAGATTATATATATATATATATATATATATATATATATATATATATATATATATATATATATATATATATATATATATATGAACAAATTGCTAAAAACTTGAAAGTAAACTAACCTGCCTAAATTAGCACATTATTGGAACAGTAATATGTTTGAAACCAATATTTTGTTTCAATTACATAATTAGTGTTTTCATTAGGGTCAGACTATTCTCTGGCAAAATGTAAATTACATTTGAACTCCTTCACAACATTTACTCCACCTTTGTTGGGGTGGAACTCAACAGGCATGGTTTCTGGACTGAAGCTGCTCAAATCAAAAACAAACAATATCTTCAAAAGGTACGAATCCACAAAGAAAACATGTTAGCATCATGACAGAATGTGTTTATTGCACCGTATTGTGCCGCCTTAACTAAGTCTGCATAAAATGTTGGGCTTTTCATCAGTGCCAGTGTAATATTAAAATCACAAATAAATGATGCATGCTGGGATTATTAGTATAGTATGTTTTCCATAAACTCAACCAGTGTACCACCGAGCTCCACCATCCAGTGTAAAAATATGTTGTTTTTTTTTGTTTGTAAATTTACATAATTCAGGCATTTCTTCTTATTTAATTTTTTTTTCTCCCCACAAATTATGAATTACTAAAAAATGAATCTGGAGGTATAAACATGAAAAGCCTGTTATGTTGTGTTCACAGACCTTGTAAAATGTAGGTTTTTATGAATACTGCTAAGCAATAATGGGTAAAAAATAGACTTTTTTAAAAACTCTCTTTGATTAAACCGAGTAAACCGGTTATGCGGAACACTGGCTGATTCCAGTCACTGCGTGAGTGATTTGTACGCCGTATTAATTTCCAACATTTTTGCAGTATTTTGTTATTTTGATTGCATTTATTGTTTATTGCATTCGATTGTGTCAAGGGGAGTGAATGTGATTAACTGTAAAATGTATGCCTTGAATTCAATCAGCAACAATGCAGTTTAATTTATTTTATCTTATGTTTGTAATTTACAAAATATAAAGCTCTTCAAGAAAGACTTTTGAAATGGATGAGTGAGTTGATCTATCTATCTATCTATCTATCTATCTATCTATCTATCTATCTATCTATCTATCTATCTATCTATCTATCTATCTATCTATCTATCTATCTATCTATCTATCTATCTATCTATCTATCTATCTATCTATCTATCTATCTATCTATCATCTGTCTGTCTGTCTGTCTGTCTGTCTGTCTGTCTGTCCTTTCCAATTGCTCTCTGCTGGAGTTGTGGATGGGGTGAGGGTAGCAGGCGGCGGTGATGAGCTGCGTGGCGCACGGGGTACCGGGATAGCACGCAGGGACTCTGCCGCGGAGAGGGGGAGAGATGAGAGATGGATGGAGAATGTAATTTTAAATGAAAGTCTATTTAACCCGCTGTGAATGGCGTGACCCCCATCCTCGCCTCAGAGCCCATCACTGTTAAAAGGATCATTTTCAGAATTCAATCCAAAAACTTCAGCAAGCTGCAATTTACACTCTCTCTTCTCCTCTTTTTCCTCCCATCCCTCTCCCCCTCCTCCTCCTCCTCCTCCTCCTCCTCTTCCTCCGTTATGTATCAGAGCTTCTCACCAAACGAACAATAACAATAAAATATATGACCAGTACATTTTTTTCTTCTCCTTCTATCAACTTTCCATTTCTGGTGCAATTTATTCCTGAAAGTTTAACTTCTCTACGTTTAACAGTTTGTGGCACGATTGGACCTTTTTCTCTTTTCTAATGAGGTATTAAATCAACGGATCCACCCCTAAAGTTAATAAAACACACAAATCTAAGGTGTCACAAACTTCCGAGCTTGTTAATTTGCGCGCAAATCAGTACAATGAATAACAATAAAATGTTCACCTGTTTTTGTCTCCTGCGCGGTCACAAACAAGACGCGCGTAATACAGACGGGTATTTAGAGTCGCTCTGTAATTTGGGGGCCACAATTTGATTCATTTATCCGCACACTGTTATTAACCCTGTGGAAAAAGAGATGTCAGCCGCCATTTCAGCCAGCAGGACATCCGCGCTTTGTTTAAATGCACTAATTACGCGCATACATTAGGGAGGGGGAAGTTGGGAGGATATAGCGCAATTTTCACATTTCCAATTTTTCGTCTGTTTGACGTGCAGGTGAAGAGATGGCGGAGACAGGGAAACCAACACCGCCTCCCTTTTGTGTTTTCGCCACCTCATAACCTGATCATATTCAGAGAGAAGCGCGCGCTGTTGCAGAAGAGTCCACGAGCCTTTTGTTTGTTTATCCTGAGGTCGCGAACTTCTGGTTTTTGTATATTTTATGTTAAAAACACTTAAAATATTCAATGTTTCTCTTTTCCCCCACCGATTAGCTTCATTAAAGGGGCAGTTCACTTTTTTAAGCAGAAATCGGAGCAACCTCCGTTTGGAGAAACAGAGATCAGGGCCGGCCCAAGCCTTTGTGGGGCCTTAAGCATGTTTTCCTTTGGTGGCCCCCTAATTTAACGCCAGATGATCCATCATTGGGCAACACCATTTGTGTGACATGCCCAGTCATTAACGTCTTTTGTATTTGCTTACAGGTGCTATTATGGATTTTGAATTCTTCTTTCCCAGAAAACCAACAAAATGCTCTAATTAATTTGCATTTTGAATTACAGAGTGGTATTGAAGTGTGGTGTATTAATGCAAATGGACGTCAGCAGAATTCATGGTAAACAAATGCTTACTATTATTCTTAAAATATTATGTGTGAAATGTGCTGGACTACAAAATAAAACCAAAATGACACTTCAGAATAATTTAAAAAAATTATATGATAAAATAAAAGTAATACATATAAATAGTATTTATTCATGTTAAATATTATGTAGTTATTATTATTTAGTGTGTCTTGTTTAAAGTTATTAATACATTTTTCTCATGCAACACACTCTCACTCCCAGCGCGTCAAAAACAAACGCTTGGTCAGCCACCCTTCGCGTCAGACCCCTGACGCCAAAAGTGCCCTTTTTCGTTACTTATGTGCGAAAAGGGGTTTTTCCCTTATTTGACTGCAGATTACAATGCAGCGTAAAACTGACGTGATGGGATGTCCGCAGCCAGGGCACCAAACAAGCTCAATGTACCTCACCTTAACCTTATCCTCTTATTTAACCTTCCCCTCACCCCTATCCTAACCTTAACCATCTTGCTAGCGAACACGTTAGTGATGTGTCGATCGCTCTAAAAGCCGGCTCTATGAAGCGAACGGCGGGAGCCGCCTTGCCATTGGTCGAGTTTGGACCGAGCCAACGCGAGGGGGAGGTTTCAACTACCAAGGTGGAGGTTAAAAGTAGAGGGTATTTGTAACCTCCCCCTCGCCAGATGGTATGTTCTAACGTACCCTTGGGCGGCAAATACGAAAATTCAAAGTCAGACTGACTGTCAGAGTTGGAATGCATGGGAAACAAACGCTTAATCACAGTGAGAGTAACGTTTTAGGTAGCAAGAGGGTTAAGGTTAGGATGAGGGAGAGGGGAAGGTTATAAATAGTGAAACGTTAAGGTTTAGGTGCGCTTAAATGAGCTGGTTCGGTGCCGCATCAGCGGATATCTAAACACGTCAGTTTTACGCTGCATTGGGATCTGCAGTTACAAAAGGGAAAAAACCCTTTTCGCACATAAGTAACGAAAAAGGGCACTTTGGGCGTCTGGGGTCTGACGTGGAGGGTGGCTGACCAAGCGTTTCTTTTTGACTCGCTGGGAGTGAGAATGTGATGCATCTTGGTGGGGGCCCAAAGCAGTTGCTTAATTTGTCTATGCCTTGGTCCGGCTCTGACTGTCACACGGCGAGTAGGGGGGAGGTTAGGACCCAAGATGCAGAACCAGGGAGACATGAGGCAGGAGCTGAAATAAATGTAAAAATCCAATGGGGCAGTAAGCCAAAACCAAAAATCCTAGTGTGAAAACCAAGAGACCTTGAGAAAAAGTGCTATCTTAAAGAGCAGACCTGGAGATATCCAAAAAACCATAGAGACCAATAAAGGGGGCGAGACAACGCTGACACAAACAATGGACCGACAACACATTGAGACACAGACAGGGTTTTATACACAAAAGGAAACAATCAGGGTGACGGGTGTTTGTAATCAGAAGGAATCAGGTGAGATTAACTGAGTGGGGAAAACTGACTAGATAAAATAAATCTACAGAGAACTAAAGATGAGTGAACTCTTAAAACCTGATAACAAGACACCAGAAGAAAAACAGGGATGGGATTACTGCATCTGAAATCACTACGGGGAAAACCTGAGGGAAACCTGGAGTGGGCTGGAGACCTAAAGGGGCACAGAAACCAAAGAAGAACACCTAAGGGGAAAACCTGGAGTGGGCACACGGAGACACACGAGGGGAACCTAGAGAGGGATGGAGAACACAAGGAGACACATGAGGGGCACAGAATGCAGACCATGACAGTACCCCCCGAAGGGGCGGATACCAGACGCCCACAGGGCACACGCAAAGCGAAAGACAAGGTGACTAGGGACCAGGGGAGTCTGGGAGGCCTGCAACGGGGAACCAGGAGCTGGGGACTCTGGAGACTCGACTGGTTAGGACCCTGCAGGCGAAGATT